CACCCTGGGTGATTGCAGTAGCTTTTCCCAGGGTTTGAAGCTGGGCACCAGCAGGATAGGTACATGTGTGTGGCGTGTGGGGAATGGGGGTCTACCTTTGGCTGTCCTGGAAACAGGTCGGTGATGCGGAACATGAAGAATGGGGCATTCGGTGGGGTGATTTCTTTGAGCACTTTGTCACTACTAAGGTGTCGCATGACCCACCTGAATGGCCGATGGGGGTAGTGATTTGGGCTGGCTTGCCCTCTGGCGACAAGCCCCAACAGCAAAATCACACAGAAACACCTTTGATGCTTGGGTCCCACCCGTGCGGGTCTCTCGGGCGCTGCCTGGCGGCTTGGTGGTCTGTCACTTTCCTCTGGAATGGGGATGTACGCATCACGAGGACGTCCCACGAGCATGTCCGGTAAACAGAAACTCGCAACTCTCATCAGTCTCATTCCGCTCATTGTGAAGGTCGGGCTTGATTGACTTAAGTGGACACCACCTGATTTTGCCGTCCTTTTTGATAGCTGTGTACCCTCGCCCCGTGAGCATCAGCTTGTTTCTGATCACCACCTGCGGGCCCTCCTCTAGCGTTCGGGTGGCCCAGTGCTTTTGAACGGGACTGTTTGTTTCATCTCCCCTAGGGAATTGATTCAGTGTTAGCAAAGCGGTTGCCAGTATACGCGCCTGATCTCCTGGGGGAATGGAATTGGCAAAGCCCTCTGCTTTCGCCAACACTTCTAGCTTGGTTTTCAGGGTCTGATTTGCTCCCTCAACTATGGCCTGCCCGGTACTGTTATACAGGATACCTTGCACTAATGTGATGCCCCATTTGTAGGCGAATTCTTGTGCTGGTTTGGAGGTGAAATTGGAACCATTGTCCATTTTTATCTGCTTGGGAATACCGAGCCAAGCCATGGCTGTCAGCCAGCACTGGATTGTGACCTTGGAGTTTGTTTTGGGGTGCTGTGTGGCTATGATCGTTCCACTATAAGTGTCTACCGTCACTGCAAGCCATGCTCGGGGCTTCAGCAGTTGACACCAGGTGAAGTCCAACTGCCAGATCTCTGAAGGCTTGAGACCTCTCAGGTTGACCCCGCAGGTCCATAGGGGTGACTTCTGGCAATGAGGGCAAGTGGCCACCACGTTTCGCGTCCGCTGTTGGGATTCCACATCTCTTGGCCAGTGCTTTGGCTCCGATGTGGAGCAACTCGTGCAGTTGACGAGCTCTTTGCAACGTCCATACGCCTTTTGCTGAGGCGTCCGCTTTGTCGTTTCCAATCTGGAAGTAACCTTTGTCTGGGTCATGGCTGTTGATGTGGATGACTGACATGGTGCCCTGTCGCGAGGAGAGTGCTTCTTCCAGCATTAGGGCTGCTGCAGATGTTGACACTCCTGGTCCTGCCATGGCTAGGCAAAGCCTTGCCATGAATATAGAGTCCATTACTATGTTGAGGTGTTCTTCTTGGAAGAGTCCACACGCCAAAACCACTGCTGCTGCCTCCAGTTGTTGCACTGACAGTGTGGAGTCACACACTTTGACGCAATGCCATTGCTCTCCTGCCTGCCACACTGCCGTTGCAGTTGAGGTCGTGGAGGAAGCGTCTGTGAAGACCGTTGGTCCTGGCTGCGGTCAGTCCTTGACCTTCGGCGGCATGTCCATGTCGACTACGGTCAGCAGCTGAGTCCAGGGCTGTGTGGCAGAATAGGAGATTTCTCCTCCGAAGCCGGTGAGAGCAAGGGCTAGGTACTCCGATATTGTGGCTGACTCTGTGGTCGGTTGCTCGCGAAACAGAAGGTGGATGCTTGTCGGCTCGGTTCCTAGGTGTTTCAAGGCAAGTTTCCTGCCTTTCATGATGAGGTTAGCGATGCATTCGATTCCCGGGGAGAATGCACGAGCAGGTCTTCCGAGGACCACCCATTGGATTGGTTGGGCCTTTTTGGAAACTCCTTGAGCCAGTGTTCCCACTCCCCCCTTCGGTGTAAAGTGGATGTATAGGTCCAGTGGCATGGCTGGATTCCACCTGGCAAGTGTGCCAGTGGTCATCTGGCTTTCGATGAAGTCGAGGGAGCTTGTTGCTTGCGGCGTCAGCTCCTTGGGTTCCCAGGGGTGCTTTCCTTTCAGGAGGTCATATGAAGGGTCCATGACCTCGGGAGGAATCAGGATGATGTTGCGAAGCCACTGCAGCGATCCCACCAGGCGTTGTACGTCATGGAGCGTCTCGATGTCTCGACTGACCTTCACCTTGGGGGGTGTCACGTAGGATCCTGTCTTGATCTTTGCGCTTGCGATCTCGAAGCCGTTGGCCTGAAGGGTTTCCGTGATTGTGGACACCAGGTGATCTACTTGGCTTGCCGATGGTGCTGCGACTAGGATGTCGTCCATGTATTGAATGATGGTCACGGTGGGGTGGGAGTGTTGGACTGGCATCAATGCTTTGTCCACGGTGATTTGACATATAGTGGGGCTGTCTACCAGATCTTGTGGTAATACTCGCCATTGGAAGCGGAGGTTGGGGCGCTCGCCGTTCCGAAATGCCACGGAAAAGGTGAATCGTTCTCTGTCCTCAGGGTGCAGGGGTATCGAGAAGAAACAGTCTTTGATGTCCAGCACTGCGCATGGCTGCCCTGCGGGGATGGTTGTGTTCGTGGGTAGCAGTGTCTGAACTGGACCCATGGGTCAGATTGTCTTGTTCACTTCTCTCAGGTCGTGGATGAGGTGATAGCCTTCTCCGGACCTTTTGGGGATCACGAATACAGGGGTGTTCCATGGGCTGATGGAGGGTTCTATGTGACCCTTTTGCAGTTTGCAGTCGACCAGTTCCAGCAAGGCTGCCGCTCGAGGCTCTGTCAGGGGCCACTGCTCGACCCATACGGGGTCTGATGATTTCCAAGTCAATGTGATTGGCAGCGGAGGGTGTACGGCAGTGGCCCTCATGATAAATTTGAAATCCTGACTCCTAGCATAGCAAGGACGTCCCTTCCTATCAGGGGTGGAGAATTTTGCAAAGTGTAGGGGTAGATTGCAACTGTCTGTTCTGGTCCCTTTTTCGTGTGAAGTGTTATAGCCACCAGCTGGGTGCTTTTCCATGCCCGGGACTGCCCTCCCACTCCGTTCACTGGAGGGACTTCTTTGAATTGCCAATGTCCGGGCCAATGCGCTTGGGGAAAAATTGTGCAGTCTGATCCCGTGTCCGTCCAAAACTGAAACCCTATGACGTGGGGATCTTGACTGCCATAAAGGCAGCATGTCCCCCACACCATCAGGGGTTCCTTCCCTATTTTCATGGCAAGGACCACCCAGGGGTCCCGCTCTGGGGTGTCCCCTGCTGGCCCTGTGGCACCGGCGCGGCTTGTGGCGGTGGAGGGTGCGAAAGTATTACTGGCGGTGCTGCACAACTCTGCCATTGTGCTGCTGGCGGGGATGCGAAACTGACTGCTCCCTATGGGGGCATGGGGTATGAGGGTCCCCTGCCCCACTGGGGGTTGCTGTAGCTGGGCCGCTGCATATTCCAGGTGGGAGGAGGCTGGATACGGCCCGGCTGCCCCCTCCCTCTCCCATTTTCCTGAGGTCTAGATCTGCATTCCTTAGCTAAATGCCCCTTCCTTCCACATGCCCAGCATGGTCCCCTAAGTCCCCCTTGGCGTGGTGGAGCAGCTGCTGATGAGCGTCTTGGCTGGGGGCAGTTTACTGCCAAGTGGCCTGCCTGGCCACACTTAAGGCACGCCATCACACTGGTTATTGCAGTGTGAACTGCTGCTTGAATGGGAGCTAGATGTTCCTCCTTTGTACCGTGTCTGATCATGGCTGCTATATTAGACCCCTGCGGCAGTGATCTTAAAATGTCCTTGGTGACTGAGTTGCATTGCTGGCGTAGGCACTCTGCTACCACAAGACCCTTCGCCTCTGAGGGTAATGCAGAGGAATCTAATGCTGCCTGAAGACGGTCCACAAACTGAGTGAAGCTCTCACTCTCACTCTGTTTTATACATGACCATGGGGAGGTTTTGGCTATTACTTTGGAAGCAACACGGATGGCTTCTCGGGCAGCACGAGTTGTTGTCATAACCTCATGGGCCCGCAAGCCCTCAGCCTGTGCCTGGGGGGTGATCATAGTGGGGTCTGTGCCCATTAACCTCTGTATGCTGGAGCCGTGCAGTGGATGGTCAGCTCCCGTTACCAAGGCTAGCTGCTTTATGCAGTCGTCCTCCCACTCTTGTTTAAAAACAATCATCCCTGCCCCATCGAAAATCATTCTGCAGGTCTGCTTAATATCAAAGGGTAACATGTCATCCCCCCCAAAAACGCCGTCAATGAGTGTGGAAACCATGGCAGAATTAATTCCCTTGTCTGCAATCACTTTAATAATTGCCTGCACGTCTTTCAGGTTTACCGGGGAATAGGTCCTTTGATTTCTGCCTGCCCCCCCCACACGGACCGGGAACACCAGTGTGGCAGACTGACCCCACTCCGCGCACGCTATTTTTATTTTCCGCCAGTGTGTAAGCGGGGTTCGGTCTTTCTCTGATAACCCCTTCACCCACACGGGAGCACTGTGACTAGTGACCTTACATGCCGCTGCTCTCTTTCTGTTAAAACTAGAATCCGAATCGGAATCCTCCGATTCCCTCTCGATCTCGGAGCTCGAGTCCGAGGCTGAGCTGGAAGTCGACTGGATGGATGTTTCCGGGCTGCTCAGCCGTTTTCTCGGGCTCCGACCCCGCCCCTTCTTGCGGGGGTTTGGCCGTCCCCTCTCCCTGGGGTCCCCCCGCCTCCTGCTGGGGGAGGTCCTTGCCTTATAGGGACCTAATTTGAATATAGCGCTCTGATTGGTCTTACGCTCCTCCGCAGGGGCCGCCCCTTCTCCCCGCTCGCCCGCGCATGTGTTGTTAAGCAGGCTGACTGCATTTCCGCCCTCCGTGTCTTCCTTTCCGCCGTGAACATGCGGTTCGGCGCCATTTTCAAACGCATAAGGTGGGGGGGCGTTTTTATCGATCTCTACGGGGTCTGACAATCAGGCCGCGTTCCGCGCCTCCTCCGCGAGCCCCTGCCAGAAGGCCCGCGCGTGTTCCCCCACCTCCGATGGTGAGTCCGCTCGCTGAGGGGGTTCCGACGTTCGCACCTCCGCGCGCTTGCCCGCCTCAAAATCCTCCGCGGTTTGCGTCGCCGCGCCCACCCCCAACTGCGACGTGGCCAATAAACAAGCTCGCGTGGCTTTCCAGGTTTCTTCCTCTTGTCGAGCTTTTTGCAGAGCCTGGATAACTCTGCCCCACGATTTTAGGGCTTTCCCTGAGCCTGAGGACATAGCTTCCTCGGCCAGAGCTTTTGTACAATTATCCCAAACCCTTGAATGGAGGATATCTATCGGGCTTTCTATAGCCCCAAGCTTAATCAGTCTCAGCAATGCAAGACTTAAATCTCTAATCTTACACTCAATACCCCATTGCGCATGCATCTGAGTTACGACCTTCGCTATGGCCTCCATGGTCCACACTGGTCCGGGGGTGTCTCCCCCGCTGCAGACGGTCCCGCCGCTGCAGCCGCCGTCCTCTGTCCAGGCGAATTCCCGTTACCCGAGCTTCTTCCCAGGTGTTGGCACCAGTTGTTGCCTTCTGATACAAGGCAAGGCGACCTGGTTACAAGGAACAGCGCGGCGACCAAACTCTCCAGGGTCGCTCGGGCCAAAGAGCACGCAGACACCAATGTGGTAGATGGTCAAAGGCCTTTATTATCTCTTCTCCTGGGGTTTTATAGTCTAAGGGCTTCTCTACGTCAGAGGGGTCTGCAATACCATCTATGGTTAGTAAGGAGTGGAAAGTTACCAGGAGTGGAAAGTTACTGGCATTACTATCGTTAGGGGGGCTACATTCCTAGTTACATTCCTAAAGTGATCTCTTATCTTAAGAGATTAGGGGAAAAGGAGTCCTACCGCTTTCCGTCACATTGCGTGATCTTCCGATCGCCTGTCTCTATCTACCACTTTTCACTTGACTCCTGTTTCATCATCCTTCCACACACTGATCTCTTCAGATGCTCTCTAAACCTTTGGTTTGCTTTCTGAAGGGGAAAGGACTTGTCCTAGAGGAGGAGCAGAGCCAGGCTGCTGAGGAGAGCTGGTCGCTGTCAGCTGGCAAGAGAGGAGGGACACGGAGGCCAGAGGGGGGGACACTGGGTGAGGAGATGTTCACACTCATCTCCATCCACTGCGAGTTTTCTCAGGCCAAACACACCTGCACTCCTGTTTGTACTGTTTGCTGTACTTGATAAACTGATATATGTGAGTTTGGGGATTTTTGTTACCTTTTTGTATTCTGAAGAGAACTAAAGATGGTTCACATTCTTTTTTTTTTTGTTCCTTCTGCAGTGCAGGCAATGCAGGCAGGGATGGAACAGCAGCATCTTTATACTTGTCAAGTCTCCATCCACACCCAAGGCTCAGCCTGAGGCTCAAAGTGATTTTGTTGCAGGCTTTGAACACTACACCAGCAGGGAGAACAAGAAGCTCAGTGGAGATTTTGCTCCAGAAAAACTGTATCCATGGTCCAAAAGCTAAATATGGAACCATGGAAGTGCACACTGCAGTGGTAGTGGAGCTGGGAATGCTGAATGGTGAGGTTTCCTGTCCTTCTGGCACGAGGAACCAGGCGTTCTCTGGTTCTCCATGGTCTTCCATGAGGACCTCTGGTTCCCATTGGTTCTCCATGAGGACCTCTGGTTCTCCATGGTCCTCCATGAGGATCTCTGGTTCTCCATAAGGATCCGTGGTTCCCCATGGTTCCCCCCAGGGCTGTGCTGGTGCCTTGCCCAGAGCTTGCTGTGACAGCAGGCAGCAGTTTCAGGTGGGGCTGCTCTGCTGGCAGGGCCCTGGTGTTCCCAGCAGGGCAGGGCAGGGATGCTCCTGTCCCAGCAGAACACTGGGCATGCAGGTACCACCCACCCTACAGCAGCTGCTCCTCCTCTGCATCACTTCCAGGGGCAAAAGTCCTGTCCTGCTGCGTGGCATGGAGCCCTGCAGAGCCAGCACGGAGGGGACAGGCTGGGCAGCACTGGTTTAATCCTTTTTGCCTGTTCTTGCCATGGAAGCTGTGTACTGGGTGAGATGTGTGTGTTTGGGGAGGGCTGGCCCGACCATTAGCTTGTCAGGGTTTGCAACACTGGCAGCTGGGGAGAAAACTGTTATTAAGTGTAACGTGGCACCTTGGAGATGGAAGCATGGGGAGACAATAAATACAGCCTTCCATAATGCCATTTTATGTTGTCACTCTTCAGAATTTATGAAGACTTAGTTGCAGCCATGCCTGCAGCCTCCTGTGCTGGAATCCGTAAATTGTGTTTACGGATTCTCCAGCACTTGCTCTGACCTGCTGTGTTTTAAAGGGGGGAGACACTGGAGGCGTGGGGACACCCCAGCTGCTTTCTGTAGCCGTTCCCCTGGTGCCAATCCAGCTTTTCTGGGGTTGCTGGGACACCCCAGGCAGTGCTTGGCTGCATGGATGGACCCCAAGTGTGATTTGATGGTTGAAGAGAACACTGAGGGACTGAGGAGCTGCCAAAATCACCACAGCTCCACAGGGAGCAGGGAAGGAGCTGGGCGAGGAGGGAGCCATGGGCACCTTGGAGCACACTGGCACATTGTCACTCCACTGTGGGACCACTCCAGAAGTCTTGGATGTGCTGAGGATGCTGGAGGTGGAAAAGGGTTCACAGGAGCTCCCTGAACTGCAGACAGGGAGATGCTACACCCCTGCTTGGTGTCCTCTTGCACCAGTGTTTTCAGATGAAAACACAAATGAAATCGTGCTCCTTTCGCCCACTTTTTGTCATGACAAATCTCAGCAGCAGCATGTTGTGTACCTTCATCCTTATCCTCAGCATTTAGGCCCAGGATGGAGGAAAACAAGTTCAAGCCCAACCTCCTGATAATTTATTATGCTCCTTATGCTTAAGGACAAAATTTAGGTTGCCAAAAGCAGATGTTTGCATGCTCTTTTTTTAGCTCTCAATGTACTTTCTGTGTGCTTGATTGATGGACGTCCCTGTTACATTAATAGCTGGGCTTTGCAGAGAGCTGGTATTACCAGGAGAATCTGGTGTGGGTTTCAGTTTTTCTTCTTGCATTGAAAATCCATTATTAATGTCTTTCTGAGGGAAAAAAAAAGGTTTCAATTCAGGCATTTTGCTTTGCTTTCTCAGGCTTCTTCTCAACTGTCTTTACAGAGGTGCTTTTAAAACCAATATTACAATTGTTCTTTATATTTTACTGAGTGGTTGAGGGTTTCTGCATCTTGCTATTGATTTCTGATTGTACTGCAGGACATGTAGGTGAACACAGGTTGTTCTGTGATGGATAACTTCATATGTGTCTTCCTAATCATCACTGAGTTGCCTTCTGCATGTTCCCTGTTGCTGGATGCGGCTGCTGATCTTGGAAGGCACCAGGAGAGCTCTGAGTGCAATCCTGAGACACCAAACTTGTGACTGCTCATTTAATTTGGGTTTGGTTTTCAATCAGACACAGGGGTCACATGAGGCTTGTGGGGTCTCCTCTTTTGTGTAGTCTTTGCAGAGTTCTTCTGCCCTGGCTTTTCCGGCAGCTTTGTGTTCTGTGATGTAGGAGCAAAACAAGTCATTGTCCTGGCTTTGTGTGGAGTGGTCATAAGGCACCTTTAGCTTCCAGCACTGACCTTGGCCCTTGGGGCAGCTCTGCAGGCAGATCTCAGCATTTCAGAGGTGCAGAGTCATTGGATCCCAGAATGGTTTGGGTTGGAAGGGAGCCTTGAACTCATCCAATTCCAATCCCCTGCCATGGCAGGGACACCTTCCACCATCGCAGGCTGCTCCAAGCCCCAATGTCCAGCCTGGCCCTGGGCACTGCCAGGGATCCAGGGGCAGCCCCAGTTGCTCTGGGCACCCTGTGCCTGGGCCTGCCCACCCTGCCAGGGAACAATTCCTAATTCCCAATATCCCATCCATCCCTGCCCTCTGGCAGTGGAAACCATTCCCTGTGTCCTGGCACTCCAGGCCCCTGTAAAGGTTCAAGTCTCAATGGAGCAATGCAGAAGCCCAGTGTGCATTGGTAGCTGCTGTAAAGCTGGATTTGCAGACTGAGGCTCTTGGAGCACATCAGCACTGATGGCACAATCTGTGTGAGAGCTTGTTGGCACCAAAGGAACCTGTGAGGAGTGACAGGACTGTGGCCAGCACGGGGGCTCCAAAATGCTTCCGTGGCTCCAGGTGGGCATGCAGGGGAAGAGCTCTATGTGTGGGCACAGTCCTTCCCAGCTCTGCATGCCCTGGCACAGGCTCCACATCTGCCAGGGACTGTGGCTGTGCCAACAGGCACTCTGGAGAGGGCTGGGTGTGCACAAACCTCTGCTGGACTGGGCTGTTTGCTCCTCAGGCTTATCCTGGACAGGCTCCTGCACCTTCAGACATGCAGGCTACACCTGGCTTCTGAGGAATTGGTTGTTGCAGTTTGTCTGTCCGTGCTGGGGACCAGGACAAACACTGGCACAGGAGCTGGTCCTGTGTCCCCGGGATAGCAGGGCTCGGTGGTGGCAGCGCTGGCAGGGACACGGCAGCCCAGCCCTGCCTGGCCCTGCAGAACCGGGGAGGGGACAGGGCTGGCACGCATACCAAGGGCAGGCTTTGACACTGCTGCTGGAACTCACTTAGCAATTCTGTTGGTGTTCTGGAAATGAAAATATAATTCAGGCCACCTTCTCCTCCAAGCTGACCCTGAGAATCTGGGAGAAGAGCTACTGAATAATTAGGGGCTTTTTTTTCTCCCCCCTTTTTGCTGGAGTTACTGCTCAGTGTTGAACTGTCCTCTATAGTGTCATCAGTTCCCTTGAACTTACTGCTCCAAGTGTACTTAGCATTAATATAATTACATAAATTGCAGTCTCATTAATCACCGGGGGCTGCGGCACATCCTTGTTGTGCTGTTTCCCGAGTGGCTCAGCTGGTGGGAACCCCCCGGCCAGGGGTGGAAGCTGTGGCTGGAGCACTCCCCCTCTGCTCCTGAGCCTGGTTTAGCTGAGCTTTGTGTGTCTCACCCTGCAGGATCTGGAGTGTTTGCCAGCACTGCCATGATTGCAGCCTTGCTGCCGCAGAGGAGAAAAGGGAAAGGTGGGTTTGTCCCAAGGGAGTTTGGCTGGACCATATCCTTGCTGCTGTCCC